GGCTTAAATGTATATGGCAAATAACAATCAATATAAACTATTACAGATCAGTGACAAATAGAGAGATAGCAGTGGTGGGAGAATATGGGCCAGAATAAACAGTTTAGAGGTGAAAGGTGAAGTCAGCTTGAAAGTCAAGATCTTTGTTAAGGCCATGAGTATGAGTTTTAAGCTTGATAATCCAGAAGTTCATTTGCCCCATCACTCTATTAACAATCTGCGTGTTACCATTATCGACTCTAACTTCAACTCCACTCATCATCGCCGCCTTTCTGAACTTTCCTTTCCACTTTCTCCTTTCCCTTTATTCTGTCCCTTTGGGGGCAGGGGTGGGGCTGGGGCTCTAGCCTCATTTCTTCTCCCATAATATTTAAGCTATATATAGCTGTAATTTATGGATACCAATGACTGTGTCACTTTGGAATGAGAAACATGTATATAATAATAGTAGCAATAATAATGATTATAGTAGGCTAATAAGAATATTTATGTCTATTGCAATAAATGATAAGTTTCATAGCAATAAGAAAATGATCAAAATGGTAAATAGATTTGTATTATTGAGCATGTATTCTTGTAATTGCGCCTTTTGAAAATTGAAATTTAGCGATAAATAATAAAAAGAAAAAAGAGAGGAAAATGCTTAAGTAGTATTCAATGGTTATAATGCTGATATGGAGATGATGATGTGAATGATTAATAACAATGATGATAATGATAGCGGGGGAGGGGGTAAGGAGAAAAAAGGTACCGTGAGTTCAGTGGCATATCCAGCAGTGGGCAAAAGGAGAGCTCGATTATTTTACCACTCACTAATTTTGAATTTGTTATTGGTTGACGAACACTATGCTACTATCCCCGGCCGACGGTGATTTTTTACAGCGATTTCATAAATCAGGATGTAAAAAATGTCAAAAGACGGAGAACAAAGACTGAGTTTTTTTAGCCGGAATACCAGCTGTTATAGAACAGCTATCCATGCTCAGTGGCGTAACGCATGCACTTCGTGTGGCGGTCCTCAGTGCCACCAACCCTTAGGGGCCACTTTGGTGCCCCTACGCATATGGTCCAGTAGCGTCCTTGCTCTATAGCACCCTGATCCAAAAGGGCTTTATTGATACATAACAGCATAACGTGTCACTGACATCGACTGCATGGCATATATTATATTAATCCAGTAGAGGTGGGTTGCTCAGCCGGCAAGGACCCCCATACTACATTGTAAACATTTTTAAAAATGAGATAAAATATTCAAATGTCGTTCCTGAGAGTGTCTTTTCCACACGTCTGGAGAGGGGCCTATTATTAAAATTTGCTCATCTCAGCCCCAACCATAGTGGGACTGAGGTGAGTGTGGACTATAGCCTATTGCCCTCCACCTCAACCCCGTCAGAAAATTTCTGGATCCGCCCCTGATATTTTTGGACAGTTTCACACCGCACTGTGCCTGTTCACACGCTCTTATATTGGCAAGACATAGGCCTACAGACGAAGAAAACCTAAGTTTCCAATTTTTTTCTGAGAGAGAGGGAGAGGGCAATTACTGTATGTCAGTCAGTTCGCATGCGTTGATCGGAGGAGATTCGCCCACACAAACGTACAAAGGTACAAACCCCATTCACACACGTCACTGGCTGCGCGATAGAAAGAAGGAAGGATGTAGAAGTCTTACTGTAGTTTATAATGAATATAAAATTAGTACAAAATAAGACACAACGCATTTTTTTTATTGTTTTTATTTTTGTGACGATGTTACCTTTTTTTTTTTTCGAGAGAAGTCTAATAAATTTAAATATATTTTATGTGCGAAAACATGTTTCAATAACACAGTTGAAAAATGTCACTCGGAAATGTATGTAATTTATCATAAAGATAAAATATAAAACAGGTACAAACATAAAATTTAAGTTTTGTTTTGTTTTTTAATTATATAAGCCTGCCTAATAAAACTTATAGAGGTATATATTTGTTAATCCTTTAAATTGCATTTAATGTAACAACTGATAATGGGTCATAACAAACACAACACAAGTTAGGAAAACATCAATTAGACATTGATTTGATAATTGATTAAACAGTTTTCATCGCACTCTGATACTCTAAGACCTTCTCATCAACATTTTCCAAAAACTGATTCAGCTCACTGGTAGCCATCTTGAAATCCTGTGAATTATAAATCATTAAAAATCACTGGAGGCAAAGTTTTAGATGAGTTATCACCCTTTCAATGCAGTTTTTTTTTTTTTTTATAATCAGTTTTCAATTTCTAAGCCTAAAGTTTTGCACAGGAAATATTCTCAGCAACAAACCCTATTTAATTTTAATAATGATCATCATAATTATAGCAAGACACAGTCTTGATATTTCAAGTGCTGTCTCTTATACACAACTAGATGTGTATATATATTTGCCTATATATTTGGCATATGGGCTCCATATGGGTAAACCATGGGCAACGCCCATATGTGATTGCCCAGACGGATCCCATAAGGGAAAAATATGGGGTAGCCCATAAGACTTTTCCCAGATAGTTTGCATATGGGCCCCATGTGGGATTGTTACCTGGGATACATTGTAAACATTAAAAAAAATGAGATAAAATATTCAAATGTCGATCCTGAGAGTGTCTTTTCCGACCGTCTAGAGGGGGGGGGGGGCTATTCTTAAAATTTGCTCATCTCAGCCCCAACCATAGTGGGACTGAGGTGAGTGTGGACTACCTATTGCCCCTCCCCCAACCCCGTCAGAAAATTTCTGGATCCGCCCCTGATATTTTTGGACAGTTTCACACGCTCTTATATTGGCAAGACATAGGTCTACAGACGAAGAAAACCTAAGTTTCCAATTTTTTTCCGAGAGAGAGAGAGAGGGCAATTACTGTATGTCAGTCAGTTCGTATGCGTTGATCGGAGGAGATTCGCCCACACAAACGTACAAAGGTACAAACCCCATCCACACACGTCACTGGCTGCGCGATAGAAGGAAGGATGTAGAAGTCTTACTGTAGTTTATAATTAATATAAAAAAAAGTACAAAATAAGATACAACGCATTTCTTTATTGTTTTTATTTTTGTGACGATGTTACCTTTTTTTTTCGAGAGAAGTCTAATAAATTTAAATATATTTTATGTGCGAAAACATGTTTCAATAACACAGTTGAAAAATGTCACTCGGAAATGTATGTAATTTATCATAAAGATAAATATAAAACAGGTACAAACATAAAATTTAAGTTTTGTTTTGTTTTTTAATTATAAGCCTGCCTAAACCAAAGAGATAAAACTTATAGAGGTATATATTTGTTAATCCTTTAAATTGCATTTAATGTAACAACTGATAATGGGTCATAACAAACACAACACAAGTTAGGAAAACATCAATTAGACATTGATTTGATAATTTATTAAACATTTTCATCGCAGTCTGATACCTACTGTAGGCTTAATTGTCCAACATACACAACGATTGGACATACAAATTACTTGTTTATAGACTTACGGCCACTTCGACGACTCGAGGCCGTTTCTGTCCCCGGCCCCTAAAAACTGTAGTACGTAGCGTACAGTAAACAAGGAGTCATTCATTTGATACTTTAGATAGCCATTAAGGTCAAACGTTTAATGATTATTATTAACTATCATTTTGAACTAAGGAGGCTTAGGCTAGTAGTAGGCTAGGCCTACCCAGCTAGGCTTGTTATTAGTTGGGGCCTAGCTAGGGCCCGGCTTAGTAGGTAGGTCTAGCCTTGGTAGGCTGGGCTGGCTATCTGGTCTGGAAGCCTAAAATAAGGAGTAGTAGGCTAGACCAGGGACTAAGTACAGTTGAGGTTATTTAATTAAGGCCTAGGCCCTAGGCCTGATTCTGAACTAGCCTGGCCCTAGCTAGTCTGTGGTGTGGTGGCTCCAGCGCAGCGGGGGTTGGGGCGGCAGGGGGAATTCCCCCATTGGATAGACCCCCTGTCGTTCAACGCACTCCTAAGTTGTCGGATCCAAAATTAAAAATAATAGTTTTTTACCTATCCAAATTAAACATACCGTGGTATTATTTTGACCGACTGTCGACAGTGTCATCATATTATTGTGGTCTATTGCACATTGGACCATTCTAAGCCATAAAAACTCTCCCCGTGCACCCTACAAGGTCCAAGGGAGGTTTTATTCAGGGCCGAGGCTTCATTGGCGCTTGCTTGTCTCGGACCTCCGTTAGACCCATTGTCGGCAAATCTCTGGCTTCACCGCTGACTCTAGGCCTAGCTTATTGTAGTAACATAAAAATGTTTGTTGCATTTGGCCAAGAGCTATGTCCCTGCTTCTTGCACTGTAGACCCCGAGTCGGGTTTTAAATAAAGTCAGATCGCTCTTCTCCTTGACAGTGGCGGCTCTAGGATATAATTTATAGGGTGGCTAAGATGTCTGACTGGGGGGGGGTGGCTAAGTATTTATGGGTGTAACTATAGTGCGCAGCGTTATCTGAGGGCCGAAGGGCTGAGCCAGAGGTGGGTTTTTAAAAAAAAATCTGCATTCTTAAATAGGTACATTGGAGTGATAAGAATGATGGTGTTTTTGTTAATGTATTTGGTAATAATTAATAAAATGTTTATAAATTCTTTTTTAAACAGGTAATTAACAATTATGTTAATGTCATGATGATTGCACTCAAAGTTACTGTACAAAGGCTCTCATTTGCCAGGTGAAGATCAATCATTTAAGAAGACATCTACTGCTTGCAACAACAAATCACAGATGCCAACACACAAACAATAATTCAAATAAACTACTCAGTTACAGGCCACCTGATTGGGCAAGCCAGCTTCAAATGATTCCATTAGTGAAAGTTAAGGTAGGAAAAAATCCAATTGTATATTAATATATTTGATTTTCAAAATACTTTTATTTATATATGAGAATATAATTTTTTTAATGTATTAATCAGTCAGTTTTTAAAAGCTGAACTCCTGCTTTAGGGCACTCTTATTATTATTAAAGGGAAACTTTTTTGCAAAATGTCTTTTAGCTCTACAGCCAACCTCTATTACGAGGAAATGTTTATTAAAAAGATGGGAATACAGTAGGTTTGCCAGATGACCAGTTCAACCTGTGGAACAAATTCAATTGTTAAGATCAAAATAATATGTTCAAAATATGTCTCAAAATTTGGGTATCAGTTTATGTATGTAAATCTACAGACTTTTCAAATGCATACAATATAGATATCACTTAGTCGCCAGTTACTCCATTAATTTTCTCAATTAATAAGTGTAAATAAATATTTTTTAGCTTTTTCAGCCATTTACACCTATTCATAAATGGAGTCTTCCAAATATACCAGATGATATTGATATTTATATCAAGCGAGATGACATGACTGGATCTGTTTTATCAGGTAACAAGGTTAGATGTCTAATACTGTATTGCTTTAGTCACACTGATAATATCAACATTTATTTAAATTAATAAGATCATTTAATAATAAATCAAGTCACAGATAAAAGAAAGTATCATTTCCAATTATTTAAATTCATTTTAATACAAAAATTCAGGAATTTTCTTCTTAAAAGTTGTCACATAGAACCTGACAGTGTGAACAGAGCTTAAAGCTGTGTCCACACTGTCAAATGTTTTGTGACAAATTTGTGTGATGTGCATGATTATGTCATATTACACCCAAATATGGACATATCACATTTATTTGTCACACCTGATAGTCAGTGTGGGAGGGGGAAGCAGGAGCCTAAGCCCCCCACCGGACTGGTCAAGCCCCTCCCCCATCGGACAGAGCACATAGGGCAGTTGAACTAAAAAGAAATATAAAAATAGTCCACACCAAGCCAACAGATGTCTGTCACAGTCTGAAAGTGTCATTTCTAGAGCTGCCACTGCTGATGTGTGATCAGAGCTTAAGATTAAGATTGTAGTGGAGGTGTGCTTGGTGGTGACAATGCTTTGCCTTCAGATTCCTGGGTTCTGGGTCTCATGACTCAAAATATTTTCCCTCTCTATGTCTTGCATCACATTATTTCATATATTAATATCAACTGACCATATTTAGGCATGTCACATGTTTTTGTCAAATAATATTTGATAGTCTGGACAAGTCCTTATTATTTGTCCTCTGCTTCGTCTCTGTCAGTCATCTTGTTTTTAAATTCAAATTTATCAGCGCCCTCTGTCATAAGTTTATGTTTTTATTAGGTACGGAAACTGGTGTTCTTACTATGTGAAGCCTTAGCAACTGGTTGCCAAGCAGTGATAACATGTGGTGAAGTTCAGTCAAACCATTGTCGCACAACAGCAGTTGCAGCTAAACAACTTGGTATTGAAACCCATCTTCTACTCAGGTCCAGGTCAGAGGTAAATACTTATCAGTGGCAGATTGAAGATGGAACCCTGGGGGGACTCAGCTGACCTGTGCCCCTTCATAAAGAAAATTGTATTCAAATTTAAGTGTAAGAGAGCCATTTCCAGCAATCTAGATGTGCCACAATTATAGTTTTTCTCAGCCCTACGATGGTTGTTGGACCCTTGGTCTGTGAATGTCTTTCCCTGGACCCCTTTATTCTCAATTTCTTGATTTTCCACTGCTTAATACTCATTATATGACATTCAGTGTAAACATCGCCTGCTCTATCCACTGGTCTAATTTGAGTCTAGTGTTTTTAATAGCCTTGACTTTTCCCACTTCTTTAAGGCTGTGCTTATACTCACTGCCTATGCCCAGCAAACTGCTCTCCAGGGCTCCAAGTAAATAAATGAAAATAATAATTAAAAAAATCAATCATTACTTAACACATTCATCTCATATTTTCGATCATTCAGCAATTAATTTTGCATCTTTTATTAGAACCTTTCTGAGACTGGTCGTCATGGGAACATGTTATTGAACAGTTTGATGGGTGCATCCATGTACTTGGTTCCCATAAAAGCTCAAGAGAAGACCGACCTTGAGCCAAGAATGCAGCGGCTTGCCGACAGACTGCAGTAAGTTGGAAGTTTTGACCACTTTTTTTTATTTTCCTCAAATGGAAAGCAACTTGTCTAACCATCCTCTGGCATCCATTACCTTCATCCGTGTCATCTTGTTGATCTCTTGCCACTAACATTCCAACGGGAAGCAACTTGTCAATCATGTTCTGGCATCCTTTGGGTGCATATTTCATCAAAAAACTCCTCTACACATGTTACTCTACAAGAAGATTATGATACAGATGTTTTTTAGAACAAGGGCATCACTCCGTTGTGGAAAGAGGAGAGCAGGGGACAGTCTTGTACTATTGCGACTACAATATTATGAGTGGAAGTACTACCGTCTAATTTACGATCAAACAGGACTAGGGAGAATGGAAGCACACAAAACATTAGTTAGCATTTTTATTTCATAACCATAAAGGTGATTTGTATTTAATTTATCATTATCATGACGTGCAAGATTGCCTCAACAAAACATCTGAGTTTTTGAACTTGTGATATCGCTACTTAAATAAGTTGAAATAGATAGACATGTCCTTGTCAAAGGCTGTACATTGTTTAATAACGGCTATATAAAATTAAATTGGCTAACTATAATATTTTGAAATTAGGAAAAACTATGTATGCAGACAATATTAAACACCTAGTATATACGGGTCTTAATATACAAAAGGAATAAATCATTTATAGTAGAAATTGTTCATTTCTGAATTTGTAAAAATGTTGGCCCAATAGGTTTACACGCTTTAAATTTCAACAACGTACAGTACCTTGTTTTCACAATAAATTGATGGTTACTGAGATGGTTTACAAAATGTAAAAACAACTGCATTTTTACTCGATTTTAGTCTGGAAATACGCACCGCACTTGAAACAGAACACAAGTGAACAGACAAAATTCATGACAGTCATTCGCAATTGTTGTTGTACTTTCTACTCGTTTTGAAAAGTGAAGTTTGAACTATAGAGGATTGGTAAAATGTGAGGGGGGACAATTGATATGATCTTCCCCACCCCCCCCCCTTTTTGTCAAAGAAGTTTTGATAGTGTAGAAAGCTTTACACCTGTCTCTTATACACATCTAGATGTGTATAAGAGACAGGTCCAATACATTTTCTTGTAAGTTGTGTGGCCCATCAGCATCCCTCTCCCAGCATTACCTCCTCACCTGCCCTTTGGCTAATAATAGATATCAACTCAGGGTTAGACAAACACATTTTAGCAGTAGAAACGTTTTACATGTATTGAAAACACCGCACAGATGGAGGCTTATACAATGTTTGCCATTGATTTGATGTGTCTTTGTGGGCTCTGTTATGTTAAGCATATTCATATTTTTTTATTAAAACTTTGCCAAATATGTTATTTCCTTATGTTTTTTTTTAGAGAAGAAAAGGGTATGAAAGCATATTTAATCCCTATTGGTGGATCCAATGTTGTTGGCCTCCATGGTTACTTATGTGGCTGGCAAGAACTCTTAGAACAGGTAAGTTGATTGGAGCAAACTAATATATTAAAACATCTGGTTTTTCATCCAGCACAATCTTAACAGATCTATTATGGAATACATTTACATTTAACAGTGTTTAATTTTGAGTAGTGTTGTACTGTAGCTTTGTGGTTGAAATGCTTGCCTGGTAATCCAGGGGTCCTGGGCTCTAATCATGCATGCATTAGTTTAATAACTAAAACATCTCCACTCCCAAAGGGTTTATATTGTACCTGTATGCATATGTATCAAATGTGAGTGGAACATTGCACTTGTATTTGTAGCAAATAGGAGTGCAACATTTTTTAGCATGTATATAATGATGTCGTGATCATTGATAAAGTGATTGATTGTTTTGATTGATTTTGTTCATTAACACTCTGACAGCTAGGGGATTGAAAAAAATTTATGTTGAAGTCTGGTCCTATCATAGAGCCAATCATAATTGATGATGAAAATTTATTTATTTATTTATTTCTGTATTTTTGTCTTTTGTGTGATTACACTTCAGCGACGCAGCACTGGTATCATAAGTGGATCTCAATGCGAGATTCGTCTACAATTTCAAATAGCGTATACTAATATACTTTCATAGAAAAATACAGTATGTTTTGATTGAAAATTTAATTCTTTCCAAAACCATTTTTTACTACATAAATTGTATTTCCTAAAATACCAGTACAACATGTTTGAATACACTATTTTGATCTGGTTATAATGAAATTAAATATATTACTGCCAAAGAAAACTTTTAAAACACTTCCTTTAATAATGGTGACATATAGGATATTAATTAACCTTTTTGATGGCAGAGCTCATATCAAATAACTTCATTTGGCTTCCAATACAACATAATTCATATCACATGTGTTATGATGTGTAACATTTCCTAAATAAAAAAAGATAAGTAATAATATATATAAAAAAAAGATGGTATATCAACCAATTCTAATCACTATCTAATCACTATCTGTGACCTGCAACAGTCAAATGAAAATGACTCACTTTTGAAGATTTACGCAATTTCGCAAAAGGAAGCTGAGATAATCGCGATTTTGTGAAAGTAAATAAATACTGCTCTATGCTAATGTAAACAAACAAATAGTGAAATACTTACGGTCCAGACTGAATATAGTGTTCAAATTGTTAGTACACGTCAGTAATTACCCCATCTATCGGATTCCGTAAAAATACCTGAAACACGGAGATCTCCCTGATTGGCTGTCAAGCATTGCGTCCGTGTTTGGCAGGCAGAGTGTTAATGATTGATTAATGGGATAATTGATTGAATTGATTAATTGGTTTATTGATTGATTGGTTGATTATATATATTTATTGATCATTTTCATTGAATTAATTGATTATTTTAGGGAGTGACTGACAGGTTTGATGATGTCATACTAACTGTAGGCAGTGGTGGAACAGCAGCTGGTGTTGCTATTGGGAACTTCCTTACTGGATCCCATCTCAGGTATTTATGAAATTGATCTTTTTATTTGGTGTTTGGTAAAAAACCTGCAGGGCATCAGCTATTAAAACATAATGACTTAGTACACACATGTATGGAGTGAACTGGAGTGTACTAGGGTCAAAGTTTGACACTTATCTTGACAAGGCTTAAGAGCAGTTGTCTGTAAAAATCAAAGAAATTTCAAAAATAGTGGCGGACTCAAAAAAATGGATTTCTTTCTAATTTTGCACATGGCTATACCTTTGTTAAGAGAAATCAAATATGAAGTTTTATTCACTTTGCATATATTTCCATGGCAACGTGTAAATTTGTATTTTTGGCAATTTTTGTCATTTTTTGCTGTTTTTAAAAGTTAATATTAGTAATAATTTGATACAATATTTTTAATATCCTTATAGTTTATTCATCAAAAATAATGGGTGTGTGTGTAAGGTCGATGTGTATAAGAGACAGGTGCACAATACATCGCTATGACCTTCGATATGACACTCTTTGCTAGCAGCTGCACTAGCTAGAAAACTCGGTAGGCACTACATGTACTGGCTAGCTATGTAGAGCGGCGAGTGAATACATATTTCTTTAAGGATAGCGGAGGGCTTTCTGAGGATAAAATTAAATCAACAAATTATTGATAATGATGTATTGCGTATAGAATAGAAAGAATTCTTATCTAAAACAACTGTCTTCTCAGCCTATCTGAACATTTTCTTTCATCATAGGCCTAGTGTGAGAGCAAGGTATCAATTGGCGGGGCCCATACATGTAACATTTTGTACAGTTTTTGGCCGGGAGGCTCCCGTTTTGGTGTCCCGACACCCGGCCACTTTTTTTTCTCACGTTTTTTCATATGCTCTCCTGGTTTACAAAGAAAATTGCATAGGTGTACTAATCTTTTGTATTGTCTTTTTCTTTTTTGCAATAAAATATTACGAAAAATCCTCAAAAATTATATCAATAATATATCTTGCTTTCAATATTTTGTTTGGCGAAACTTACAGCACAGCCTAGCCTCTCCATGGGTCGTGTGAGAGGCTAGGCTAGGCTAGTCGTGTGAGTATTAGCATAGAGTAAGAAATGTTGAACATACAAGTGAATAAAATTAAAATTTAGATCAAGTAGGCCTATAGTACTATTATTAGGTGATGCGATGATCCCACACTGATACAGTATGAAAAATGACATAATTTTTGCTAATTAAAAGCGTTAATTTATAAGAATCTAAAGTTAGTAAATCTTTCGTACAGCATAATTTTTTTATTAAATTTTTTTAATGTCTTATTATAAAATAATGCTTTAGCTCAATAAATCAACGATAAAATTTTCTGAAAAAGGGATTCCATGTAGCGGAGGACAGAATAAAAATAAATATAAATTTTTATTTTTATTTCTTTTTTTCAATTTTTCATGGCGGCTCGTACGCTAACACATTTATAATAAAATGTTATTTTTATTTTGAAATCCACAATTTCAGAATCGGAGGCTTCGCTAAACACGGTATAAAAAAGTCTCGCCTTATTTAAAGCCCTAAAAATGTATATTTATTTATACTGTAAAAGGGCCTGAGGTTTCATGCCCAAAATCTTCCCTTACCGAATTCGGTCCTGCTACCCGACCTACTCGGGTAATCGATCATCCAACCCCCTGTCACAAGTGACAGGTCGGGTGACAGATTCGCTACTTACCTAAAATTTATTAC